GGGGGGGCTGGGGGGGCTGGAGCCCCCCCCAATAATTGTCAAACTGTAGTATGTTTCCTTTATAACAGTGTACTGAATGAGAAGGAAAAAAATGGGCAGCCCCCCCCCAATATGAATTTCGTTCCGACGGCACTGCTATCACGGACAACTGCCGATAACGGACACCTTCCAATAACGGACACCTGCCGATCACGGACACCTTCCAATACAGACACCTTCCGAAAACGGACAAATAGTTCTATATTCTGCCCTGTAGTCCCAGCTTTGTAGAAGAGATTTACAGGCAGCGGACACCTAGAGCGTTTCATAATTACTTGTTATTTTGTAATTTCACCATATATTCCAAAGTTTCTTTCCATTCTGTCTCTAAGCCACTCCACGTTACACCAAATATTCACATACCATGTCAATTTTTCTAGCTCTTTTGGAGTGACTCCTCAAACAGTGGCCTTGCTGTGTTTTAACCACTCAAACTCTTCTGTTGTAAACAAAAGAGAAAGGAAAACCTGACTCATGGTCCGTTTGTATTATGTCACAAACGTCATGTCAAGATTACGAAATGCAATACCATCATTTTGCTCATAGCGTAGCAACGGCGTGTTCCTGGGATTCGTGGACAGTTCAGCTGTTCAATCAATAACATTCGAAATATTCTTGGAAGAATCAAGCCATGGGATTTGTTAGACAACTAGTCCCCCCTCCTCCTTCACTTGAACCTTTTCTCTAGAAAAAGTGAAACGATATGGACAATTCACCCCCAGCAGCGACGACAGATAAAAAACTTTTAGGTACAAAAAAAGCTTTACCCACTACTTCGCAGTCTTTTATAAACCAACCTCAAAAACTACCGACACTCTCACGTATTTTTAGATGGGCCTATATCTAGTTGAATTTTTTGCAGCTTGGGATGAATATAAAAATTTTTAAGTTTTTGATCGGCAGGATACGCGTTACAATGTGACGATATCACACCCAGCTTGGTACCTTAATATATTGATCATAATAATATAATAAACTAAATAAAACGAATTATTTTGTCTTTAGAAGAATATTATTTTGTCTAACTGTGTAACTGAAGCTTGTGGTTTGCTCTGGTACAAGTATAGTATAGGACCATATCAGAGCGTGATGACCTTTATACGTCATGAATTTGACTGGTAGGCGTTTTGGGGCAAAAGGACAGTCACCTTAAACTTTTATTGGCATCATTCGTAAAATTCGTTAACACTGAGACGTATCAAATATTAGTTTTTGATGCATGTCTGGTACACAATAGGATTATGGGATGAAACTGAACACGGTAGAAGTATACATCAAATGTTGTTTACTTTTAAAATCGGTCGCTCCGGAGGAGTACGAGAGACTCATTGCACACTTGTGACCCTAGATTTATTTTTGGTTCAATGTATTTTCTGAACTATCCCAAAATAAAAGTGCTTCTTAAGCATTAGTTCATAAAGTACTGTTAAGTCTTTTATGCCTTCCCAAATTTTTAAATGTACAGTACGTTACCTATAGCAAGTTTCTTACACAATACATGGGTGTACACTCTTCTAACATGGTCTCTTCAAGAAGGGATAACGAGATGCATTGGAATAAGCCAAATATCAAAATAATATTACAAGGCATACTGAGATATGGCAAATTTATATCAATTTTCTCAATGTTGTGACACGCCTTTTTTAATAAGGTATTCTCTGTCCAAAATGCCTATATGCAAAAATACCATCTGTACCATTCCTCGCCAGGCCTTCTGGAAAAGATTAACGTAGATATAGTGTCGTAAAGTAGATTGTTGGATGTTCTTTCTCCTTGATCCTGGTCGGCGCTCCAGTTCGCCACTCTGTCTAGTTACCTGATTTAGCAACTGTATGAAGTGGTGACAGATTGGCAAATCGTTTATGTAGCTCATAATTGTAAGGAATGCCTATTTATAACATTTATTTCAAGGTGTTGAGTGATTCATAAACAAAAATAGGAGCATCGCCATGTACACATATATCTATGCATTTGATTTATAGAAAAAATATTCATGTACTTCCTTTTATCGGAAAGCTTTTCGGTATGGTGCTTCTGCTAGATTTTCCCACAAGGCCTTTGGAAAGCATATCAGGCAAAGAGCGCTGCTTAATCCCCAAATATGACATAACGTTTAGTCTCATATTTCTGGGCATGCTTATTCAAGCACTGAGTTTTTTGGGAAAAACTTTTAGACTTCTGACCTATCATTTAGCTTTACATTGACACAGTGGCCATATATACGCTTGCTGGGTGAAATTCTTTATTTAGAATCATGTTCTGACCACAAAGATTAGATTCCTCCTGAGGTTTCTGACAATAAAAACCAGCAAAGCGCAGGGCATTAGTGCGTGTTTTTGTCGTTTTCAAGGCATGAACGATAATTTTAGAGATAAATTAGTCAAAACCCCGTGAAAGCGTTTTAGTGTGACATTCTTCTAAGAACAAAGGCCTACGATAGAAAACAACAACGACATTAGCACAAAAGCTTGTTTGGGCAACAGGCAAGGTGTAGAAGGGGGCTTAAGCCTCACGACGGAATTTCCTTCGAAGGCGGAATTTCACACTCAAATAAACCTAAAAAAGTCAAATAGCCCGAAACCCAGCTTTTCCCCTACAATAAAGAATTTGCCCTTTGGTCAGCACCTATAGGCGTGAATTGTCCTTGTGAATTTCATGTTGGAATTTCATAGCATTCCATGCTGCGTTGGGGTGCATGATAAAAGCCATGTTTGATTTGGAACAATTGAGATTATTCCAATGCACCGCCCCTTTGGATTTTTTGTTCGCAGTTACTTGAGGACCGGACCCGGAATGACGCAGTTTCACAATGCTATGTTTTGTTGTGAAATTAAATTTTTATCTTTGTTCTTCGAAGGAAAATGAAACAATAGCAGGAGTGTCGAAGATAAGATTTCCGAGTTGAAAAATAGAAACGCAATTTTATATTTTCGCAAGATTTTCCCGATATTGCGGCCTCTTAAAAAGTCCAAAATTCAAATTTTTTCGCATCTAAAACCGTCCGCCCAACGTCATCGAGATCTCCATTTCCCATGTCGATCTGGCGTGCCCTCTAGAACCCTTGTCAATAATACAACGGATTATTATTTGAATTGGATTCAGGGAGGCTGCCTATTGCAAGTAGAACTTCGAGCTGATTGCTTAAAATCTTATTTTTAGTTATAAAAACGGTAAATCAAGCTCCGTAATAGAGAACTGCTTTATTTAGATTATAAAAAACATCTTTAGTCTGGTAAATTATGAATTTGTTCAAAAATCTATTCAAGATCCTTGTCAATTTTGAAAGGCTTACCCCCTGAATTGTTGGCCCTCCGGGTTGTTAGATGATATTAGTTTATGCAAATGAGCATAGTGGGCATGCGTTTTTGTCTGAGTCAAGAAAACAAGTCATTGAAAGCTTCGACGAGGTAGTTACTAAGACGAGGATCAATTTTTGTTGTTATCCTGCATATTTAGCTGTTTTGCTATTTTAGGGAACTAGTTTGGTGGCTGCGAAGATATCAAGCCTAGAAAAATTGCAGAAGGAGGATTATTGACAAATTGACATCTGAATCTGGGAGCTTTGTCGCTCAGCCGCTGCTTCGGATTTGTAGTTGAGTATCAAGATCTTACTGCAACAATTCCAGTTCTTGAATGAAAACCACCAGTGGAAACAGCTTACTCGTGCTATCGTGCGTTCGCTTTTATAAAGAATCAAAAGGAGTTGTTAGGTTTTGAGCAACTGAGAACACAGGAAATCGTAATCGTGAACCACATCCGATATCGAATGAAGTAGGGAAGCTTGAGTGTATTGTCAAGAATCAAGGAGATATTCTGGCGAACTAAAGAGTTCACTATTAAATGAGGATACTACTTACTCAAATCTCGGTTGATTAATCTAAAGATGGAGAAAGGATTGGTAATCCTCATTTTATGGTGCTTTTGGCTTAATTCTTGGCAAGTAAATGGTGAGTAAGCTATATCGGCCTAAGAACTAAACGCAAACGTGTCGAATAACGGTCGTGTTTTGATCGTTGAGCTAACACATCGATGACTCAAATAAGGGTAATAAATTTATTCTGCCCCAAATAAACCATTTAGTGTCAAACTAAATACTCTTGTGCGAGTTGAGAAATTTGATATCTAACAAGGAAAATGAAGGTTGCCATCTGCTTCCCGTGAGCTTTCCTTGAGAAACATTTGTCAATTTTCAGTTCACATAAAAGGTACACACGTATAAAAAGAAGGCCACTGAGATTTATCGATACAAAAAAATAAACCTTCACTGGTGTCCTTCCAAACTCTTACCTTTTGTTATGATTTGGGATAAATTAAACCGTTTTTGGCTAGTTTGATTTTTAATGGCAGTGAATCATCGCGAGACGACCCCAGCTTAAATCAATTTGGCTTTGGTAGGATTCGAAAAGCAAGGCTGAAAAAAACTAGAAATCCGATCCCGGACATGAGTAAACTTAAAATAAACTTACTTCAAATTCCTTTTCCTAATCGACTGTCCCGCACTTGAGGATTGAAACGTAAATGAAATCTTTTCTAAAAGAGGGTGTGGAATTTTGATCTTCAGTAAATTATGTTTAAAGGGTGCCCCATATGACTAGCCGCCACAACTTCATTCGGATAATGACTACCAAAGTAAATACGGACACGAAACAGTTAGTTCAGAACAGTTCCCTGCCTCTGTCACCTACCTTGTAGTACCTGACATTTTACTGAAAACCCGCCAGGAGAGGATCCCTACTTTGTTTTTCCAAGTGATGTTTTGACACGTAAAAGTAAAAGAATTGCCCGCTTTTGCGTCAATATCATATCAATAAGATAAGAGATTTCATCCTGGCTTAGATCTCACGAAATATTACTGAACTGTAACGCCGGGCTTATTGCGAGCTTACCTTCTAAAATCCCCAACCCGAAACGAAACTTAAAAGAATTTCTATCGCCAAAGTTGCGTGTCTTTCCACGAGACGTTTGAAAAAGTGAGGGAGAGTCATGAAATTGGAATGCTCTTTTATCCATCGCTCTTTTTTTTCCACCCGGACAGGATTTTTTGCCAAAATTCCTTATGTTCCCATTGATGGAGTGACCCTCTTCGCCAACCCTAGAATAGTCAGTCCATCAGCGGCGGAGAATTGCTTCTTTGAATCTTTGAAATCAAATTGGTTGCCCTGTCAGCAAAGCTATGCAAATCCTTGCAACATATTGTTTGATCTTGCCTGGGGCACTCTCATTGTGGTATCAGATAGCTCTAATTATGATTATTATGGTTAGCTATTAAATCGGGGCCAATCACATCAGAAACCAAGGATTAGATTTTCCCTTACCAACCTTCATTTACAGCTAGAGGATAACTAATATCTGAGTCAACATTCAAGATTTCTTTGTCTTCTGTGACATGAATCTTGCTTAGCAGCCTAATTCCCTAATGTTAATTACCTTTTGGCACCCAATATTTGATTTTCTGTCAGTCCATTAACATTTTCTTAAATTCTAGATTGAAATTGATCTTTGGCATTCCTTACTGCCTTTTTCTTTTCTGTAAGAGCCTACTCAGTACAACTCAACTTAGCTTTAGGAGCTAAAAGAAGGGAAACAATTTTTGTATATCTTATATGTTGCAAAAGGATTGGTATATCTTATAAGCTAGGATAGTACCAAGCATGCCGAAAAGAGATTGCTTTTGTCCCCTCCAGAAATGAACATTCTCTTCTGTCCATTTAGAGTAGGCATTGTACCAGTAAAAAAGAAACTATAGTTACAACTATCTAGTTTCTTCTTGACAAAATACAAACAATTTCTTAATCGTAATCAAACAAAATAGAAAACTTGAATTGATTTTTTAATTCTAGCATTTGAGATTGAAGTCAACCTATCCAAAGATCTTTATGCAGTGAAATACAACCAAGTGTATTTCCTTTGCAAAGTAACAGGAACTGACAAGAATGATGTAACAGTGTCATTTGCCATAAATGGACAGCCTATTGTTAGACCTCCACCATACAAACTCAGTTGGACGGAGGGTGGTATTCTTATGATACGCCCCCTTTTTGTTGGAAGATCTGATGGACTGTATGAATGTGTTGCCAGCGATAAGAAAGGAACTACAAAAAGGAAAGGTTTCCGGCTTACAGTCAAGGAAGGTTTGTAGAAAACAAATATATATGCTGTAACATGCAAATCTTTGCCTGGTAGTAAAGATGAAATATGACCAGAGCTGATTAGCTATTCGATTTTGGTTTCAGATGTTTCAGATTGGTTTTTATGTAGCATCTTTTGCCAATCGCAATTCTTACCATATTTGGCAATACTTCCACAAACATCCCATATTTTTCCTTGCTGAATGCTGAAACTGTTCACAAGGCTTTTCAAGGAAAATGCTGATAAAATAACTATGTTTGTCTTTTGATGATAAGTCTTTGTGATTTAGTTGCTTAGTAAGAAACCTTATTTTTTGATAGACTTTAGCAGTCTCATTCCAGTGGAGGAAATTAATTTTTCAGGTGGGGGGGGGGAGGGGGGGGGGGCAAAACTCACAGAAACAAACAAATTTACTGACAAATGAAAAAAGTTACCAACAGAAAATCATTAAAAATGTGTTTTAACCAACAGTTTCCCAAAACTAGGAGCCCACCCCTGCAATTTACATCAAAACTGATGAGCATAGAATTTCTTAAAAGTACATTATTTTGTACCTTTTAGAAAAAGATCTGCCAAGTGGCTTTCCTCGATTGGTAGTCACGCCAAAGTCAGCTTACCTTATTGAAGGGGAAACAGCTATAATGCGATGTGCTGCAACTGGAAATCCACAACCACAGATCAAATGGTTTGTCTCCAATAGGCCACTTAATTTGTCACATCCTAGGGTATCATTACTCTCTGATGGCAGTGTGAAAATTGTTAATGTCACTAGAACAGGCATGGGACTGTTTGAATGCGAGGCCTCAAACAGCATTGGGAGTAGAGTATCTCGAAGAGCTGGAATATTTGTTAAAGAACGAGAAGGTATGCAACAGTTTGTATAACTTTTAAAGTAGCAAGACTGCATCCTATACCTATAATCTAAAAGACCTCTATGGTTAGACTGTCGCCAATTCCAAAAAGATTGCTTTATGAAAGTATGAAAGTCATGCCCATCTTTGCAGCAAAATATTAAATCTCCATACTTTATTGCTTGCCATCCTAATGCTTTTTCATTAGCATGAACATTTTGTGTTAAAATTTTTTCCAGTAATAAGAATCAGTCCCACTTTCACAAAGACCCAGCAAGATATAACTGTGGACCCTGAATCATATGTGACTTTGAGCTGTGCTGCAACTGGAAAACCCCAGCCAGTCTTTTCATGGTTCAAAAATGGCATGCTTCAGGCAGGTGGCACTGATGGCTATTTCCATATTCGATATATCCGGGAGTCAGCCAATTACACATGTCAAGCAAGAAATGATGCTAAACGTACTGCTGAGAGCACATCACAAGTCATTGTAAGGCGTAAGTGGAATTTTGCTATTGCTCTTTGTATTTGCTTATTTTCCAAGATCAAAAATCATAGATCAAAAGGCACATGATTTTGTTGTCATTTTGATATATATATGCTAGGTTTTTGCAAATACCAATAGTTTTCCAACTTTAAGCCATTGGTGCTTCTTAGCTTTGCTTATAGTGTTGGAAGGTAATTTAGACAACTGCCTCTACTAATAAGGCTAAGGATAAGCATGTCTTTAAGTATTTGGTCATGAACTTATCATTCCTCAAAGATTTTCTGGTAGGCAAACAAGTTGTAAGTTGTTGGAAATAGGTGAAATCAGATGTGCAACTTATTCTCAAAGAATAGATAAAGGGCTATTATAATTTATTGTGATTATTCTGTTCTTAAAAAATCTTATGTTGCAATGAAAAGAGGTTTCAGGGTGACTTTATTTTCTGAATTTTTTGAAGGATGTTTTAAAATTCTTTCAATTGATGCAAAGTTTTGATTTTCAGCAAAGCCTTTTAGACCATCTGAAGCTCGGCTTGTTAACAAAACTGTGACATCAATAACAGTAACATGGAGTCCAAATCATCGTGAAAGAAATCCAATCACAGGATATATAATAAAATACAGGATCAAGGGAACAACTGCTTGGAGCCAGCAGCTTGTGAAAGCACCTGTAATGGTTTTTACATATGGGGGTCTCAAACCTTACACTTTTTGTGAGTTTCAAGTGATTGCTGTTAATGATGCAGGCCAGAGCCGGCCAGGGAAGATTGATTACTTTGTTAGTGGAGAAGCTCGTAAGTTCAGCTTTGTTTTGTTTTACTTAAGTGACCCAGGAAGCTATAAAAATGTGTTGTGGTTCACTGATATTTCTTTGTTCATTCTTAATTTCAATTGCCCTTTTTTGAAGGTATTTGTTTTGACTTAGCTGTGTAAAAGAATAGATTTGGCTTTTGAATAATTTCATTACAATATATCAACTGTTTCTCGTGTTTTGATGCAACCAATTAAATGGTTCAAGGTATTTGTAAACAATAGAGAGATCTATCCGTCTTCCCATGCTCTATTGGTGAGAATTGGTCTCGGTTTTTCTATTGTTGGAAGGAAGAGTTTTCTTGGTTAAAAAAATATAGCAAAAATAGTCTTGTATTTTTTTTGAAAGAACATTAATCACAAAATTATTTAAAACACATTCATTGTCAGGCATTTATTATCCGCTTTGCAAATTATTGATTATGATTGCAAATCATTTTCAGCTCCTGAAACCCCAGCAATTAACCTTCTTGGAAAAGGTGTGAGTGACACATCCTTCAATGCAACTTGGGATAGGCCCCTTGTACCAAATGGTCGCATACAGCGCTTCAGAGTATACTATACTGTAGACAGAACGGAGAAGCTGTCAGACTGGTCTCTTGCTTATGCTGGACGCACATGGAAGCTAATAGGATGGCTGGAGGACCGAATGGTTTATTATTTTAGAGTTCAGGTTGTTGGTGTTGCGGGGCTAGGACCATTGTCAGAAATAGCTGTTGTGAAGGCACAGGCTGGTGGTAAGATTTTCGCTAATTCGTTTTTAATTCCCCGTAGCCATGCAAATCATAAGAAATGATAATAAGCGTCAAAGACAAAATGGTACTGCAAGATATGAATCCTTAAATTTATCAACATTACATAATTATGTATTAGCTGTTAGATAAAGCATGAGCTAGGCAGTCAATCAATGGCCTTGAGTTTATACTTATTATACGAAAAGTCGTATGTTAATACAAAGTCTGAATTTAGTGCACGAAACTTCAATGAATACACTTCTGAGATACTCCCTCTCAGCACAGATTTAATTGTACGTACATATGTTATCAGAATCTGTTTGTGTAGCATCATAATTTTATGCAATTGAGATTGACAGGTGCACTTGAAGCCAACTGTGTATCACAAATTTAAGTCAGGGCATTACGGTAGTCCCTGTCCAGGACTAATGTACAATACCTATCTTGACTTGACTTGAAGTTTATCTTTCTTGACTTGGTCAAGCTACCAGATCAGCCCATACCGGGCTCAAAACTTTGTTTTTAATACAAATCACATGGTCTTTCTTCAAACTTTGAGGTAATGAAAACAGGGGAACATTAGGAAACAATACGCTTTTAAGAAAAGTTAGCGCTTAAGTACAATCAACATGCTTACTCAAACAGACATGTTCTTGAAAGCTAGCTTTGATTATAAGCAAGATTTGATGTCAGTAACGTGCAATGTAGATAACCAGCTTCCGCAGCTGTCGTCTTAAGCAGTGTAAATGCTCTTTAGAAATAAATGCATTGAATAGGATTTGGTTCAGAATACAAGACTTCCTGACGTCTGATTCGCGCTTACCATAGTTAATAACAACGATTATGGCATTGACCGTAAAAAGATACTAGGGTAATAAGCTTTTGTAACGTTAATGAGCTGAACAAGCCTTCAATCGCATTAGATGAGTGAGATATGAATAACGGATTCTTTAACACTTGTTTCCACTGTTTTGTTCCTAGCTTGTAGAAGCTGCTTGATTGAAAGTTTCCCATGAGATTAGAAAGAGTCTGTCAAAAGTTTCTAATGAAAATGAACATTCGTGGTTAATAAAATGAATTACATGCTTTATTCCAAAGCCTTTACATTGCGACCCCAGCATCCCAGCCCGATTTTGTCTTCGGATCAAAGTTAACCTTGTTTGTGTACGAAATGATACAATTTCCTACTTTGTTTAGTGCATATTGTGTGCGTTTTACCCTTTGTGAAAGGATCAAGCTCTTCTTAAGCCGAGACATTTTAGAAATTTGTATGCATTTCCTAGCAAAACGAGAATGTATCAGTTTCATGTACTACAAGTAATTGATAGATATCTTCACGAAAGCAAGAAAATTCCACCTCAGTTCATTGGCAACCACGCCAATGATTCGATGATGTTAACTGTGTTTATCTCCATTCCATTATCTTTGCATACCGCAAACAAATCATGAACATCATAGGCCTAAACTGTATGCTGCAGTCCACACCGCCCTGTAATATTTTCAAAACGATGCTGATATCATCGAGTGGATTATTTCGTTGTGTTCTAGATAACTTGTCCGCAATCTGATAACAGTACATGCAATTAATCTATTGAAGATGAAAACACATTTTTAGTAATGTTTAATTGTATTCTTTGAGTCGCATTCGATCAGAGGTCTGGACACTGGCAGGGTTCACACTCGGTCGTGTGTTTATCCTTCGGCAGCTACTTTACGTTGCAGCTCACAAAAATCCACCCTTAACAATCGCATTACTCTGATATAGATTGTAAAAACGCAGTTGCTTCGAAATCGGGTATCCAATATTTTGTTAGGCCGGAATTCATGTCGTAAAAGAATGGGAAGTGCCGTTATCGTAAAGGATTCGTACAAACGATATAGTTGTTAAACGTCTGTGCAGCTTGCTACCAGTGCAAAGCTATTGCATTTGCAGATTATGTTTAGGCGTGACGCCCACCCATATGCGCTTAGCATGTAAGAAAGAAGACTTCACATCGTGTAGCAGATAAACCTATTGATAGAGTTTGAGCATGTTTACAGTTAATGATCCATATGCAAAGCCTTTGATGCAGACGGCAATCGTTCGGAGAGTATTGTGCTCGAATGGGAATAATTGCGCATTAAGAACCTAGTACAAAAATCTGTTTTCGTGCACTTAAACAGCTTGGCTCGCATTTAAATCCAACTGTAAAACGGTTTTGAAAATAAAGATAACAATATCTGGAGAAAATAAACAGTCTTTGCTTTGAACTTTTTCAAACAGGTTGCGTGTTTTGGGATCTTCAATCGTGACGTTTATAAATTTGCGGCCACCGTGCAGACTTTCTTGTGCCCGATCGATGAATTTTCCAAATCAGTGATTCCTTGTTTCCCAAAACGATTTTGCGATCTGTAGTTTTTCTCGTCATGTTAATTTTTGTTTTTATTTCTTACAAAAGAAAGCGAAATTCAGATTGAATATTGCAGACATTAGATTCTTTTGCACTACCGCTAGAAGCGGCAAGATGAAATTATTATAAACTTGTCTGTTGCGAGCGTTTTAGAAAAACATATATACTTAACACTCTCCGTTTTAATGTTGCAGATCTCATCATTTTTGTCCGATAGGTGCATATAATATTTATTTCCAGTTCCGTTTGACTGGAAACAAAGGTTTTATTCCGTAAGGTCTCTTAGCAATAATCTTATCCGCGTAATGGTATTTCTATGTAAGTTACATCTTCCTAATGTTTCCTTTGATTAATTTTAGTTCCTGGTCAACCTAAAAGCGTTGTTGCCAGGGCAATGGGAGCAAGATCAATATCTGTCTCATGGACTGAACCAACGTACCACGGAAGTGGCCTAGACGTGTATGAAGTGCAATACGAGTCAAGTTTTGGTCGTTTCAACAAGACTGCTGAATTTGGCTCAAAGTCACTTGTCCTTACTGGATTATCCCCGTATACACAATATACAGTTTATGTATTGGCCAAGTCGTTCAGTGGCATAGGACCACCATCCGAGCCACAAAAAGTAACGACGTTCGAAGACAGTAAGTCTACTTGTATAGTTTAAATATCATGAGTGAATGCTCTTTCTAAGGGTCTCTAAACGATTGTAAATATATGTGGTCGCAGAAAATATGCCCATTGTCTGCTTTGAGAGCCACTAATAGGGGAATATCTGCTAAGTTTTCGTATTCTTCCTTCCTGATATTTGCAAACACTACTATCTGCTATTTATAACAAAGAGCTTACTGCTTGAAGATACTAGTTGTCCTTCTCAAGAAAAAATCCTTGCATTAAAGAAAACTATATTCATTGTTGTTTAAGGTTGTGAATAATTTGATCGCTGACTCAATTTTTTCTTGAAGAACCAACCGGACCACCCCAAAGTGCCCGTGCCCGGCCGAGAAGCTCTACATCGATCAAAGTGTTCTGGCAACCCCCTCTTCCTCGTCACCAAAACGGAATTATCAATGGCTACAATATCATGTATACTCCTATCAGAGATGCAACACCTGCTGTACTTTCAGTTGATGGAGCCCAAAGGTCTGCTCTTTTGACTGGCCTGCGTAAATACACTAAATACACCATTTGGGTAACAGCAAAAAATTCGAAAGGAGAGGGACCACCGACAAATAAATTTGAGCTTTTCACGGACGAAGATGGTATGCTGTTTTTGTTATATCTTCCCGATGTACTTGAGTATTTGATGGTGCCTCATTAGCTCATTGAATCAGAATTTATCATTATGTTTGGTAAAAGCTGCTTTGTTTTTTATTTTCACATTAAGAATACGCTTTTGGGTTTTTTGACCAGTACCTCAAGTAAATTCCTGCAACTTTGACGCATATGTTAAACGTAAATAACAATGAAACATAAATACATTTGTTTTGCAGTGCCAGAGGGTGCTCCAAGAGATATTCTAGCCCAGGCTTTGAATGATTCCGCGTTGTCTGTGAGCTGGCAAGAACCAATTGAAAAGAGTGGAAGAATTCGAGGGTATTTTGTGTATTATTTACCAGTCACCGATGACTATCAGGTTATTCCCGACAAGACCCTCCCATTTTCCTACGATGCAGACAGCTCTCAAGATCGCGTAAGTAGTGGCTGTTTATCTTTTGTTGCGCGTGAAATTTATTCTTAGATGCGAGGATAGCTCAGTGGCTAGAGGCGCTGACTACAGATCATAAGGCCGGTGGTTCGAGGCCCTGGCACGACCTAACTTTCACGTAGTGTGGGGAGAGTCGCCAGCTCTCTGTAGTTTTAGGTCTAGGAGTCCCGAGGTGTGGTCACATCGAGAGGAAGGACCAGGACACTGCTCGATCAGCACAACTTCTCAGTGCTCCTACCTTCGGATGCTAGGAAGCGAATGCAAATACAAATTCGTTGTATTCACAAATGTCTTTATAAACTAATAATATCTTAAAAGAATCTTTGAACGCTTAGCGAAGTTATCCTATTTTTAACATTCAATGGTGCTCGTTGAGAGCATAATATTAATGAAAAGTTGTGCAAAGCATTTTATAGTGACACACTGCTGCAAATGTAAGTTATATGAAGTCCAATATTTAGCTAGAAGTATTGAAATACGCTGAAAATTAAATTAATTTCTGTCTTGCAGCACGCAGTTGTTGTTAAAAATGTGGAGCCTTCAACGACGTACCGTATCACCGTTGCTGCATACACTTTAAAGGGTGATGGGGCTCGAAGCCATGCTGTTTACGTTAAGACCCCAAAGCGTCTGCCCCCAGCCCCGGTGATCAGGCGAACTACATTACTCAGCAAAACGGGCACGAGTCTCAAACTAGTCTGGAGGCCAAGGATGGCCGTACTTAGATATAAGATTGTATATGGCAAAACCATTTCTCAATACGACAGCCTAGCTGGTGAACGGACAGTTTACGTCAGTGTCTCGAATAGAACCAAGATATTTAACGACCTGGACTATGGTGTTTGGTATTGCTTCAAAGTGTCAGCTGAAACTACAACAGATTGGTCATCAGAAGCACAGACTTGGGTGAAAATGCCCGATGGAAAGCCGACTGGGCCACCGTTAAATGTACGTGCAGTAACCGGGTCGGCTTCTTCAATTAAAGTCACATGGGAGTCACCTGATCCATGGCAGCGTAATGGAAAAATCACCAAGTATGTTGTGAGATATAAGAAAGTGACTGGAGGAGAAACTATGCGAAAGACGTTAACAGCGGGTTCTAGTGATACGCGTCTCGAAATGATTGTCGAGGATCTCCAAGTGAACACGATGTATTTGTTCAGTGTCCGTGCTTTCACCTCTGTCGGACCAGGCCCTTCAAGCTTGGAAGTGAGATCGCAGACAGATGATCAAAGTATGAACTTTGTTAATTCAGTTGCATACTTTTTATTTATATAAATATATAAATATATATAGTTGAAAACTTTTCTGTTAAAGGTAGTGAGTGTGTCCTTACAAGTAGCATGCTTCAAAGGAAGGTGTAAGTTGGTTTGAACCAATCAAAGACAATTAGGTTGGTCTTAACCAATCACCTAGCAATAACAGTTGAACTCATGTCAGCCTTTCATTGGCAGCTTTAACTGCAATCTGTATGAACACGCTGCCTTCAAAATGAGATGCAAATCTGTATACTTTGTGTAGTGGCCACAGCATGGGTCAGTTTCAACTTTTGAGAGACACTAGACACATGTTTTTCATGCATTTCGGTGAACACAGCATTCACAAACGTGCACCCATAGATTATCATGGCTATTGTCTGCTACATTATTTTCTATTGGGACATGAAAGATAAAGTTGTGCATGTGTTTAACATGTTCAGACATTTCTTTTTACTATGGCTTTTTGTTATTTTCTTATGACCTCCTAATAGCCGATATCTAGATCTCTTGTTGAGCACTTTGTGACTTCACAATCCATATTGTTAAAAACACCAGTTTCTCCACCATCCTTTGAATTTTATCTATTGCCTTAATGAATATTCGATTTTGTTTCATTACTAATGGCAGTCACATTTTTGAGCTTAATAATTCCTCTCCTGCAGAGTTACCCGTCGTTCCATCAGTGGAGATTGGTGATGTGACCAGTGATTCAGTATATGTTGAATGGAAGCAACCTTCACAAGCTTCCGAATTCAAAATAATTGGCTACAAGGTACTTGCCTTTTGCAATATCTATTTCCTATTCAACTGCCAATAATTTAGCAATAAAAATGTTTTTCAAGTAACTTGTGTCTGTTTTTATGCCTCGGATATATTCTGGAGTTCAAATGAACGGCTGTCGTGCGATTAACGACTGGGAAAATGTTTTCATAAGCAAAAAAATCACATTTACAACTCCTAGGCCACGCCCTGCTTTCATTGTTTGTTTGTTTGTTTGTTTGTTTGTCTGTTTGTGGCATATCTTTACGTCTTGGCTCATAGGTCATAGGAAGGATAAACAATTTTCTTGATTCTGTGTTGAGACAAGATATCTTTCGACTTATCAATGTTTTCAACAGTTTTGTATTTTTCTTTTAAGTTAGAAAATTTTTTCGATGAAAAGATAAAGAGTCCAGAAATCATGATAAATTTTAGTGTTGACGAGCATCGTGTGAACAATAAAATTCAAAGCGGCGTTTGAAAGGGGAAGAATAAAGCGGCCCTGTCGATATCAAACTGGTTAAAGAACCTACTTCCATATTTGTCAGTGCTCTCATGTACAGATCCTTTTTTTAGCTAATTTATGCTCTTCTGATATTCCCAAGGTCTCAGTGGCGGGCTCCCGATCATACAGAGATGAAACAAGCACGATCAAAACGGTTAGCAGCTTTGCTGAAAAGCAAATCACACCTCCTGCCACCTCGGCCTTCTTTGGAAACCTTCAGGCTTTTCTCCACTACACCGTCTCCGTCAGGATTAATACAACTGTCGGCATAGGGCAACGTACTGTTGCTAACTTCAAAACAAATAGTGCTGGTAAGTTTACACACCTACAACACATTACATTCTTGTAGCTACATCATTGATCCGAATCGATTGAATTTAAGATAATCAAGAGAGACTGACTGCCAAAAATGTTGATTATCTTTAAAAAATTTTTCATTGGAAGCTTACCTGTGAACCTCGGATCGGTCTTTTTAAACGTCATAATATTCAACGATTTTCTACCGGAGATAGCGTTATGTTTGACAATTATTTGAAGTTGCATTTATTGTTTTTCAGCTATCGTGTTTTCATTCCTTCAGCGTATTCTGTTCATCTTAAGTGCTTAATGTAGCATCAGTAATCATTTAATCATCTTTCGCCATCGAGCACTATATGACAGACAGGTAAAACAGTGATTTTTTATAAGCTGTTCTATACGTTGTGAAGTTTTCAGCCATAAAATTATTAATGGTTATTGCGTTTGTAGCCCCACCAGCAGCCGAGCCCCCTAGAAGTGTGCAAATTGTGAAGAACAACCTCATATCAGTGGTTTTGTCGCCTGCTTCAGACATTAATGGGCCAATAGCGTAAGCGCTTCTTGTATTTTATGTTCACCATTTTAGAATACTACAAAAGTTTTCGAGTCAAGGAATTGTCAGTTAACCTATTTAGTTTTTGTATATACAAAATATTATATAAACAAGTTCAATGTATTCAATCTGAAAAAACTTTATTATATCACCATTTTGAAATATATTAGTTCTCATTTCGGGTTAGTGTATCGAAACCGTTAAAAGTCGCAATGCTTAGTTTTTAGATAAAATATTTCACACACCTGTTTAAATGGCAACCTTAATGATCAACAGGTTCTACCATTTGTGTGTCTTGGATCTCGGAGAAAAAAGCGGCACCTCAGCTGGAGTGAGAAAAAGACGATCCTCTATAAAAACACAAACATACGTAACTGCAGAACTGAAACCAGCAGAACTTCCTCGGGGTATTTTAGTTGGAGAAGGAAACAAGATTGGGGGTTATAAAAACAAGAAACTCAGTCCTGGTCACACATACAGACTATTTGTTAATGTACACGTAAGACAAGGTTCCAGATACGTCAACAGAACAAGCCCAGTCACAGACTCTGTCTTTTTACCCATGCCTGAGCCAGACAAGAAAGTTACAAATGCTAAACAGGAAGGCTCCGCCGCGTCCAATTCTGGCGGTGGTAGTAATGGCATTTTGATCGGTGTTATCGTAATTGGTGTCATCTTTGTCCTGTTGATTATTGGCGCTGTGACATTTTTCATAAGGTTTGTCCAAATTGTTGTGTATTCTAGGTTTAGGACAGCGTTTAACGCTTCTTTTATTAAAGAAATCTTATTAGGGTTTGCTAAAGGCTAGGTTCAGGGCCTTAGGACATTTACAAAATAAACGGATGTTCATAATTTTGGTATTGGGATATTTGCCAATCATAACATATACCTAGCACTGCATATTATCCTCCATTCCTCATGTCTCTAGGGTCATATTCCATTCTGCCATCCAATCAACCAACGGCTGTATCCAAAGCACATTATGCCTCCCTCTATTATGATATATGTATTTTCTGAGCTCTTTCTTATTTCTCTCTACAGCCAGTGTTAACTGCAGTGTTGCACTGCTGTTTTTTTTGAAAAATTTATCAGCATAACTGTACAACAAATATGCATTATGTTTTTCTCCTCTGTAGAAGACGAAAGCCCAGTCCACCGCGCGACGAGGAATCCAGCAAAATCCTCCTTCAGAAGAAAAGTGGTTCAGTCAGATATGACAAACCTAAGGATTTAGTTGAAATGCATCGTATGACGTATCCAACAGTTGAAATGATGAGCCACCCACCAATTCCCGTAGAAGAATTCGCAAAACAACTGGATCTTCTCAAAACTGAAGACTTTGAACAGTTTATTCAAGAGTTCGAGGTAATTGCCTTAAGGACGCTTTCGATTTAGCTTGATGCTCATCAGTCTAGTTGTGTTTTTATTGTCGATCAAAAGTCTGCTTCAGTGCATTTTCTTTCTGAATCATTTATTTAATCGTGTGTTTTACCTAAAAGTGTTGTTTTTTATGTAAGGTAGTTGTGAATGATAATTAGTTTCATTGTAAATTTGAAACTTAGATTGTGATGCAATTTCCTTTTAGTCCATTAAACCTGGTGAGAAGCCTATTTCAGAGGAATCAAATCAACCATACAACAAGTTGAAAAATAGATATCCAAATCTTCTTGCTTGTAAGTCGCCTTTTCATGTCAATCTTTTATTAAAAAGTGTTTTATGATATTATTTTTGGCTTTTGATACTTCATAAAGTTTCCTTAGCAACTGTTACCTGATGAGCTGGTGTTTGTGTCTATGCACCATTTCTACTCTTGGTTTACAGTATAGAACCGTTTTAAGTTGCTACTCCAAGTTTGATGTATCATTGGGCAATTTTTCCTTTTCATTATTTACAATTTATATGTTGTGAATTGCATCGCTCATATAAAGGCACTAAAAGGTTTCCCATGAAGTAAACATTTTTTCTTTTTCTAGACGACAAGACACGAGTAGTTCTGTCATCAACTGGTGAACCTGGCTCAGATTATCTCAACGGAAATTATATTGATGTAAGTTTAATCTATTGGTTCCTTCAAAATTCTGTAGGTGTGGACTTTTACCAGTCTTGGATAACAAGGTTTGACACGAAGACTGGTATGCCCATTTGCTATATGATGGATTTTGTTCTGCAGCTTACCACTGAGATAGTCTTTTGTTCTTTAGCTTACATAGGTGCAGCTCTGAATTTCTATTTTTTTGATCGATGATTCTAATTTTTTAAGTAACATAATTAATCTCCTCAGCATCCAGAGCTGGTATGTAGAGGTGTTTGTTTTAAAGGTAATTATATTAAAGATGTGCCTTTTATTTTTAAGGGTTACCGCAAAGAAAGAGCATACATAGCAACTCAAGGACCAATGGAAAATACGGTGGCAGATTTTTGGAGAGCTTGCTGGGAAAACAACACACGAACGATTGTTATGATGACTAAACTAGAAGAAAGAGGAAGGGTGAGTTTGATAAGTACTTATTTTAAAAGGACACGGTTTCTTCAAAAGGGGCCCTCTTGCCTCTGAAAGCCGTCAGCCTGTTTTGATCGAAAAGGAATTTTAAAGAATATATATGCAATGTTTAGGTTGCACGCTTTTGGTGCACAGAAAAAGGCGGTTTTAAGCTGCTTCTCTGATTTTCACGCATAATGCGATCATCAGGCAACTTTATGTTCTTGTTCAGGCGTCAGGCAACATGCAATGTTCAAGTCAATCACTCTGCCACCAAAAGGTATCATGACCAGTTATTTTAAACATCGTTCTAAGAACGCGTGAATATTTATTTGCAGAGTAAATGTGAGCAGTACTGGCCTAGTAACGACATTGCTAATTATGGACGAATCAGAGTCATGAAAATCGATCAACTGGAACTTGCAAACTACACGAAAAGGACATTCCAGATAGCCGAGGTTAGTATTCTTATAAGCAGGAACAGATGATTTTTCGACATTACTCGTATTGTCTTGTTACATGAAAGCAACTATGTAAGGAGTCCACAAATAAACCGAACGTATTTTCTCATCGTTATGATAGCAATTTCCCCATTTGATCAATTTAAAGTCTAGTGAAATAAATTTGCTTCCAACGAGTCACAGTTATAATCTGTATATGCCTTTTCTGTTCCTCAGGTTGACGGAAATGAAACGCGTGAGGTGAAGCAGTTCCAGTTCACAGCTTGGCCCGATCCAGGGGTGCCACGAAACCCAGCACCGCTACTCAAATTTATAAGAAGAGTCAAAAAGGAAAACGAAGAGGGATCTGGACCAATTATTGTCCACTGCAGGTAAACAGAAATATCTCTTAAATATCGTATTTGAATGGAACAAAAGCAGAGTGGATATTTTTCCTTAGTGCCAATGAGTTCCTTGTTGCAAGGCTATCATAACTGGGAGGAGAAGGGAGAAGGGAGAAGGGAGAAGGGAGAAGGGAGAAGGGAGAAGGGAGAAGGGAGAAGGGAGAAAGGGAGAAAGGGAGAAAGAGTGGGGGTTGGGAAGAAGATTTTAAATATTTGTGCAAAAAGATTATGGACCTTAGGTGGCATCTACAGATAGCAAAGCCTGTCAAAGGGCGGCATGTTATTGAAAAGTATGGTAGTGTTTCAGATCGTGTGAATGTTTTGTAGTAAACTTAACAGAAATGTACGATTCTTAAGTCCTTTTCCCTTGTTTCCATTACCATACACTGTTTTGCATAAATAACATCCATCATACAATTATAACCATTTTTTATAAATAACATCCATCATACAATGATAGCCTTTTTTATAAGTAACATCCAGCATACAATTATAGCCAATTTTTTATAAATAACATCCATCATACAATTATAGCTTAAGCTAAGTTAACCCTCTGCATTTTTAGTGCTGGTGTTGGAAGGACAGGCTGCTACATTGTAATTGATTCAATGCTGGAAAGGATCGACAGTGATAATACAGTAGATATTTATGGATATGTGACCATGCTTCGGTCGCAGCGAGATTTCATGGTTCAAAATGATGTAAGTGTTTCTTGTTTTTCCTGTGTCAATATTGGACATAGACCAACTCGAAGATTAAGTGGAACCTTTATGTGCTTTTATCTAAGGGTAGGAAGAATCCAAGGGTATCTCATAAATAGGGCTTAAATTTTTAAATCATATCGTCTTAACAATTCTGACATGCACGAGGATTCTGTTTTTGTTGCTCAAAAACTGGCATTTTAATGGTTCAAGTAACCCTAATACATAGTAAATGATTTCCTTTTACCTGTTTCTATAATTCAAATTATGATAAACGTGATTCTACTAATAGGCATCCGGGGATTGTCTTAAGGGGAGGGGCGCCTGTTTACAGTAGCATTATGTCAATGATTGACAGTATGTGGGAGCATATTGTCTTTTGACAGGAAACTAAAGTCAGATAACGAATGATTTGTTGATCAGTAATGACATCATCCAATGAGCAGTAATCACATCATCAGTTAACGTTCAGTGCAATTTCCAGTTTGCTCCTCCTTTACATTGCTGTATCCTAAACCAGGGAATTTTTTGGAATTTATGTAAAAAGATATGTATAAATTTATATATAAATAGCCGACGTTCATTTGCTTTGATAGGAGCAGTATATATTTGTCCATGATGCCGTCATGGATGCCATCGTATCAGGATCGACTGAGGTGGAGGAGAGTGAACTCGTCAACTATTTCAAAACACTGACAAGCCTTAACAAACGAGGCGGCGATGATTTAGAAGAAGATTTTAGGGTAATTAAGATTACCATTTTTACATACCAGTTAAATTTTGATCCATAAGATTGATAACAATTGTCAAGCAACCGTATTTGCTGTGTTCGGCCTTAATTGTAAAGCAGCTTTAAACAATATTAACTTTATTTCGTTTCAAATGCCTAGCTATATCAAATATTAGATTTATTTTTGGCACAGTGAAAACTCATGTTTTGCAAAACGTGCTAATTAAAGGCAACAGTGGCTTATTAAATATCACACTCATTGATTGGCCAATTGTTCATTAATAGACTGCTGAAGCCATTTAAGTTTCTTTCGATTGCTGTTAATGTTAAATTATATTTCTGTCGATTGCCTTTAAAGTAACCCACATAATACCGATTCTCCATGTAACATAGAATAACTTTGTTATTTGACATGTTTGGGTTTTCTCTATATCTTCTTCACGAAGTTTTTTATTTCCTTAGAAATTTTTCTGCTTGAAAATATAACGTGTCGTAGCACGTAATTCAGTAAATGTCGATGCTTTATTTGAACATTGGTCGTTAGTCAAGTCTATGTTATGATTATTTTCAAATAGGTTATTGTTGATGCAACAGTCCCGAACACTGGAAATTTCACATCAGCACATTTATCAATTAATAAGGAAAAGAATCGATGCCAGTCAATTGTTCCATGTAAGTGAATAATTATGTTTTCTTTATGTTCAAGTTGCAAAACCATTGCAAAAAAGTAAAAACAGACAAGTAAAACACTGTCAGCCAAATATTTAAAAAGGAATTCATTTAATAACGCTTACAGGTTAAAAATATTGATTATTTATATGTACTATAAGTATTATTTGATATATAAGTATTATTAAGGTACAAACGTTTATCCTTGTGTCGTTTTAAGTTTAGCTTTATATGATTTGTTTTTGCAGACGAATCAAATCGTGTCTGTCTACAACAGATTCGTAACCACGATGGATCCGATTACGTCAACGCAAGTTACATTGATGTAAGTTCGTCTTCAGTCAAGCATCGTTTTCAGCTTCGAGTTAATTCTCTTGTCTTCAGAATTTATACTAACGTACCTCTGCAGCTATTTACAATTTTTGTAACTTTCGTTAGACGTGGGTTTGATATTTTGAATTTAAATTTCCCTTTTTTTAAAACATGAATAAATGCCAGTATTAAATTGACAGCCAACAAGGCTAAAGGTTGACATTAAAGTAACAACTTAAAGTTAATGAATGCCAATGACCAGGTAGTTTATCAATAAGCTTGAGATTTTGTTTAAAAAAGCCAGCATTTCCAAGTTGATCAACTGTGATTTTGCTCATTAAATAACTGATTTAGGTATTTTATAGTACGAATGTCAGTCGAGGACTTTTCATAAATCACCCAATCTTTTAATAGTTGGTACAAACATCCTTCTTTGGCTCGGTAAACCTCGTTGGTATTTAAAACCGATGTTTATATGTGAATCTATTAGTGCATTGTAATGCATAGGCCTAATTTATTTGCTTTTATCGAATGTAGGGTTACAGAGAAAGGAAGGCATTCATAGCTTCTCAAGGCCCCAAAGAAGAAGACACTGAGGAGTTTTGGCGAATGATTATGGAACACAACTGCTCTATCATTGTCATGCTTACAAATCTAGAAGACAAAGGAAAGGTGAATGATACCTCAATATTAGTTTTCGATGATAGTTTGTGTTAGCTTGATGTTTCTGAGACGTTAATATGGAGTGATATCAGATTGAACCATTTCTGATGATGGAATGAGAACCAAACTAAGTTTTTCGCTTTTCTCACGGTTCCGCCAGGGAGCATACAACATCAAGTTTGACTGTAATTAAAAGGGTGCTGTTGTTGATCTCGCTGTTGTTAATTTTTATGGGCTTAGAGTTTTTAAGTTTGTATCCTAGTTTGCACGAGAGGAGTCCAGAAAGTTCAGGATTCAGCTAAAAAACTGGAAAATATACAAAAGAGATTTGATTTAGGGAACAGAGTTGAGAAAGTACAATATTGTAAGTTGCAGTTGCATCCGAAAAGAATGCCAAAGAAACAGCTCAAAGTCTAATATTCATTAATAAGAAAAATTGATTTCTTTAGAATGGAATTGTTTGTTTCGAACCTAGGCCCTTGGTGTATTGGCACTCTTCTTTCGAATGATCTTGAATGATAACTATGTTGACATCCCTGGATTATTTTTCTGTACATGAGAATAGAATGTTGGTATGCTTTTTAAACTTTCCCAGGAGCAGTTATCCAAAAGTAGTTTTCGCAGCTTAAAGGCTGTTTCTCTAGAGTTGACAAGGAGATCCCACCCGATCCCTTCTTTTGCCGCTCTATTCTGTCGTTCTTTTTATAATCCCTTGCAATGTGTTGGGCGTAATTCTTGCCTAAACATGTGGCATTGTATTCTGGAAGTTGCCGTTCTTGAGGTGAAGATATATCATTAGATTTAACCATTTGTAAACATTTATTGATCATGATATTTATTTCTAATCCTGTGTTTGCCCTGCTCTAGGAAATGTGTCACAAGTACTGGCCAACTGAGAAATCGGAAAGGTATTTCTATTACGTCATCGAACCTGTAAACGAGACCAGACATGCGCACTTTTGTGTTAGAGAGTTCAAAGTAATGGATGCGAGGGTGAGTCGATTGAAATCTTTCAATGCGTTTTAATCTCGCTTCTTTGTAATAATCCCAAAATTAAATTTTGAATTGTAGATAAATATCCCATGTCTGTTAGCAAATCACAATGTATTATTTCAAATTCTTCTCGGCCGTTATATTTAATTGCCAAATACATTGCATGAAAGGGCTTTTGTCCCAAAACATTAATTGGTAGAAAGCCTGTCTGATTTCAGCTTAAGCGAACAATGTATTCTGATACTTGTTTGTAGCATTTTAGACAAAAGGTAATACTTCAAAAGTTTTGATAATCATATATCGAGGCTTTAGAGTCGTGAAACTAATCTTATGGAATCAATTCTTGAAATATATTTATATCCAGACTACAGACCTTTTTGCTTCATTTCTTTTGCTCAATCTCTCGTTAGTGTAAAGCCCGCTGAACTTAACCCTTATGAAACTCGTTAATATTAGAGATAGCGCTTGAATTTATATTCTTTTTCTGTATTCCATTTTCGTTATATATATATACTTAAGTAGATTTATTGATCCATTTGCGGAGATTTTAGCGCCTGAAAAGTTTTATTTTCTTCCGCGTAGATGGTAATTAATTAGATATTTCTTTCCTTTAGGATGGAGAAGCGCGAACAATTCGTCAATTTCAGTACATCAATTGGCCTAAAAATGGTGTACCGCTTTCGTCAGAGGGTGTTCTTGAACTCATAGGACAAGTTGATAAGTCGAAAAATGAACTTAATAATTCGGGACCAATAGTATGCCATAGCAAGTAAGTAACGGTTGTCTAATTACATTATAGTTTCCAAACTTTACAATAAAGTTGTAATATTTTCAATAAAAAGTTGCAAAGTTGCAATGTACAGTATTAAATATCGTCATAATCATAATAACAACCGTAATCAAAAGTTTCATTGTGCTGGCCTCGTTATGGTGATAATCGTCATCATCATCTTTATTAACACCATCATAATAATAATCAACATCATCGTCATCAGCCATCATAAGTTAAAAAAACAGCCTCAACGTATTTGTCCTAATTTGAATTCTCTTTGTTTACAGTACTGGAGCTGGCAGATCTGGCGTGTTCATAGCTCTTAGTATCGTATTGGAAAGACTGCAAGCAGAAAACGTTATAGACATTCACAGGACTGTGAAAAGCCTACGAATGGAAAGACCATTCATGGTACAAACTGTCGAACAGTATCGTTTTTGTTTCATGGCTGCTATTGATTATTTACGGAGCTTTAATTTCCCGGTATGATTCACCGATCAATGCAGTTCCGGCATTCATTACACAAGAGTTGGCTGAAACAGTCACAAAAAGTTTTAATAAGCGCTCCGTCCATAGCTCAATACGAGTTGTCGAAGACGAAGAGGCATTGTGAATGTTTCTACAGCTGTATCGTTGACTGCAAGGCCATGCTGAGGTTGTCCCTTCAATTGGAAACTACAAGGATCTGAGATTGGTGGCTAAGATAATCTTTCATTAAGCTTTGTCTAGACAGCGTATATTATTTAGCCTGTGGGTCGTCTCATGACTCGCTGAACAGAAAGAGAACATGGACTTCTTGGCGCACATGGCCTTAGGGTGTATACCACATTATCTCGAAGATAATCTAGTCTGCTAATGTGACAGAGAATGCAATGTGTATGACACTAGCTATAGGTGTAAAGTAATTAAAGGTTGTTATGTTTCTTTATCTCGGGTGGAGTTTGCTGTTTTATTTCCCAGGTTTGGAAAATAGGAAATGACTGAGTCAAAATCTGCTTAGGTTGGAATAATTAAGCAACTTAGGGGCGTAGATGAAACAGCTTTTTATCTTGCTCAAAAATGTACAAATTGCTGTCCAACAGGCAAAAATTCCAAAGTTTTGCAGCTTTGAATTGTTTAGAGCTCTATACTGCTATTAATAAAAATTTTATTTTAGAAATGGCAAATTGATATGTCCTACCTGCCCCCTTAGAAAAGGAATAGATGGAAGTTACCTTCTTTTTAAGCGGATTGCTCGTTATAGTGAAGGAGTATAATAAGATTGTTGCTTGTTAGTGTTGTTGGTGTTGCCTCGACCATTGGTTTTAGAGCTTCTTTGTAAAGGATAGGATTTTATAATTTGTTCTATGTCTTATTGTTCAAAGAAGAGGCATTGCTAAATTCTTTTATGCTGCAGTTAATTTTCAGGTATCGAATATGCCATATTGTCTGGCAGTTTGGTATATTCTCAAATTGGTAAATTTTTTTACCAAAAATCGTAATATCGCTTGTTAAAAGCTTTTTATGTAGAAAGTTAGTAAATGTAAATGTTGACAAAACGTGATTATCGTGTATGAATTAATGTAATGTTTAAATACTCGTTTTACCTGTTTGATACCGTTTATACAGATGTTGTGTTTATATCGTTTTTCTTTGTTTTCAATCTGACCGATCATTTGTTTTGGATTTGCTAAGTGCGATTTTCATCGCTTGCAAATTCATCGGCGAACATTTATCAATGATTTTACAACGAGCCCCGCATAAAGGATCACAAATTGATCCGAATTCATCCATATCTAATCAAGAAATTCTCTTTGTGTATTGCGTTCTTTACTGTTTTTGTGGAAAGGTGCAACTGTACTTTCTGACATTTTATTTCTGTTTATTTAGCTATTTCCATAATTATTACTACAATCTGTTTATACTTTTTATCCTTCACGTATGATTGAAAATCATCATGTGGTGGCAGAATGCGATGGCCACTTTTTGTAGGCGAGGATTCACTGTTTCATGCAAAAAATAAAAGTATGAAATTGGAAAAATTAACACCTCTAAACCATAGGTTTTTGACATAAGTTTGCTTGAAATGATATAAAACAGGTAGAAAAAATCTCTCGACTATTTTTCAGTATTTTCTGACTACGCGGGGCGCTTTTCCAAGCAACTTACTTTTAATTTAACATCGCGACGGTAGTTTCTTTATTGGATGTGTTCGATGAAAGTTATCTGTTGTTTAACGCATCCTTTTGACTGCACAGCGCACATCTTTACATTCTGAGAGTGTATCTAAGAAAGTTTGGCAAATGGTTCGTAATTAAATGAATTACGAAACAAATGGTTTAATATAGTTGAGTGGGAAAGGCACCAACTGATTTTCAAACTTAGAACACTCAAAGCGAGAGCTAATTAGAAAGCCACTCTAAATTGAATTAGAAGTGGCCCAGAAAAAATGGGGATTATGGAAACCCTTCGGCTCCAGTTCAGGCCACTGTTTTTCGAAAGGTTATCAGTATTGAATAATTAATACTACATTTACGTACGTATACTAATTATAGAGGATAGCAGTGTTAAATTTGATTCACTGCTGCAAAATTGCAAAAAAAATTGGGTGTCATTTTTTGCAGTTAAAGATTTACGCAACTTTCTTAGATTTTCATGATTTATGCACCAACAGAGATTTTGGAGAAGTATAATTTTTATGGTTGATAATATCAAGAGAATATTTATATAAATCTACGGTAGTCAAATGTGCTACAAGCAGAAAAATAAATCCCTTGAAATATTCCCTCTCTCGCATGCCCTCAGTTTGAGAAGAAAATTTTACGGTAGCTCATGAGATGAAGTACAAACCAATGGTACAAATGGGTCAGAAAAAGATTAAAAAACCAGTAGCTGGACCAATTAGGGGAGGACATGCTTTATTTGCGTGTCAAAATAATATTACAAGCGTATATTGGTATCCCAAACACATTCAAGGTATGCAGGCAACTTTCTTCCTTTTAAAATCAATTCCATTTCTTTATTATCCTACGCATCGAAAATATTATTTTCAGGAAAAAAAATCGAGTAGCCATTCAAAATGTTAGTTTAAAAGTGAAGGTTATGATTAACTCCAACAAAAGGATAATTGCTAACGATATTTTGAGCTTAAATTTAGGAAACACCAATTCGGTAGTAAAAGAACATTTCAATAATAAATAAACTTAATTTACTTTTATTAGACTAATCGTTAATGATATGTGGTATGCCGTATGCCATGCTACGTGTTATGCCTAGTCATATATGCTAAAAATGCCGTCCATTTTGATCCTCTATAGAAAAGCAATTCAACTCATCGGGTATCGAATACCTTGATTCCATGGAATAGTTTAAGACCAGAAACTGAAGAAACAATATCAAATGGATTCTTATGTTGATATGATGATAGATAGTTTAGAATGATTATATTTCATAACAATGAAACTAACTAATAATATTTCGATCCACAACTGGGTATATATATTTCTAAGCGTAGAGTTTTCGATCTATGTTCTGACGTTTTAAACTCTGAAGAGTGTCAGACGAAAAGCTTTAGTTTACTAAATGTTTGCTTTTTTCAAAGCCATTTACAAGTTTTGTACCACCAAAAGATTGTTAACTAATAATCATTGTAAGGATTTTTAGATTGTGCAAATTGCTAAAACACAACAAAAAAATCTCGAAATATTTCAGTCTTTGGAAATTGGAATTGTATTTCCTAACGCAACAAAGATATATACAATCATATTAAAAACGACAACAAACTAACAAAAATTTTTAGCTTTTGGAAAAACAAACAAGATTAAAATAACAAAACTAAAGAATAACAAAGTGTCTTTACGCAAATAAGTAACATAATTTATCTCATGGTTTTTTACAATTATTCTTTATCTTGAAATTTGTAGAAATATAAAATAAACTACTACGTTTGAAGTACAAAACTAAGTATTCAACTAGTTTGATCTGTTAAAGCTCCATCTTGGTTTGAATTCAGTTTTTTATCACCAAAAAACTTATCATAGTCACCTTGCTTATTCCTCAAGTCAAAAACAAGTTTACGAATTCTTCTTTTGTAATTAACATCTATTTTTCTATTGGCATTTTTGAATACTTCTCTTTCAATCATTTCTGGAATGTTATGGGTCACCTAAAAAACAAATTATTGTTCTTTATACACAAATTCATTATAAACTTTCGTGCATCGAGGTTTCTAGCAGTAGTTGCATGTCTAGGGCTGTAAGAAGGAGGGAGTTATCCCAGAAAGATATCCAGAAGGATTGGCAATGAGAGATAACATTATGTTTATTTGGTTCTCGATAGATTCTTTGGCTCTTAAAGTTTGAACCAGAGAGGAAGTAAGAGAGCCAAACAAATGACTGGCAAAGTGGCAAACTGGAACAAAAAAACAAAAGTTGAAATCAGAGGAGTTCTCAAAAAGCTGCCCTCTGGTTTGATTTCATTTTCAGTCTTAGGTCCATTAAGTTCATCAAACGACGATGTAAACTCGCCTTCGCTCAACCTCAAGACTCGAAACTTCCTCTTCACACCCACTTCATTGCTTCTTTTAGTAAAAAGCCTGCTTAATAGTTAAATTTCATTGCTTTAGCAAAGTTTCCGCGCTCAGAAACGTCCAGTTGTAATGGTCATTATTATCCCAATACTTGTAAAGGATTTATTTAACATCTTGATCCTCCGGTTTTCAATCAACATATTTAATTTCTATTTGCATTATTCGACCAAAATGTGCAATTCGGGTAGCCTTGTCAAAATGTTTAAATTTTCGTCAGTCAAAGTAAACAATTTTACATTTTGATTGCTTAAAACAATTTGCTTCGCACTTCTCTCTGAATACTGTGCTGGCAGTCTCCAACAGCTGCTGATCTAAGTTACAAATCCTATTCCAACTATGGAGCGAATGCTTGCAGTTGCTTTTTCAGTTTTATCGCTACATGCTATGTTATTCAACTCAGTTGGTCTATACGTCCTTTCCAAACCAGAATTTCGTCGAACAAACCAATGGCTGATCATCAAAGGAATAAGCATAATTAATATCGCTGTCGGAATTGGATGGTTCCTCCGTGATGCTGAATCAGCTATTGGCTTCAAGTACCAAGGAAGAATTTATAATACTGTAATAGCAGCGAATATCGGAGCCTATTTCACTCGGTATCTGAATATTTTCCTACTGACCATAGACAGATTTCTATGCGCTAACTTTCCTGTAAGGTATAGAGTATTGTCTTCCAAGTATAAGATTGTCATATTATCCACTTGGGGTATTGGCTTTGCTATTATAACAATAAATAGTATAACGGAACATGACAGATGGAGAGTTATATTTGAAAGGTATGTGTGGCTACTTCTAGACCTTGTCTTCCTTGTTGTCTTTGTTACAACTTACTCCACAATATACTGTCGAAACCTCAAAAACAACATTGGCACAACAAGGAGCAATGCGAGCAATGGCAGGAACAGGTTTAAAAGAATGGTCACTTTTGTGCTGGTCGCCTTTCTGTTCTTTCAAATCTTCCCTGATATCAGCCTTACCATACTTTATGGGGTTATGAAGATCAAAGAAAAACTACCATTATCTGGTTTATTATTTTTATACAGACTCAATATGTTCATAGATCCTTTCATTTACATTCTATTGCATCCGAGTGCAAGACAGGTACTAACACGTATGGTGCGGAGAATTTTTGCAAGGAAGAGAGTACATGATTTGAGTCAACTGCAGCAAAGAACTGTTTCTAATTCAAATGAAGAATGAAATACTTTGGACATCAGGCTCCATAGAAGGATGAAGTGGCTTTTCCTTTGTGTCTTACGCTTAACAAAGAAGACAAAGACGTAAACAATGAGTTAAACCGAAGCCTGTGTGGTCTTTGCAGTTTGTGCTTTTTCGTGGTACACATCAAGAAAAAAGATTGAGTGAGCTCGTTCCCATACGTTGATTTGAATTTGTAGCCAAAAGAACTTACGAGAATCGAGTTAATGAGGCAAAGATTCATTCGAAAATTTTTAGAAAAACAGAAGTGTTGCGACGGTAAAAGTAAAACTACATCCACCAAAATCTAGATCATCAACGTGAAATAAAATGTAAAGAAAGCCAACAGTAAACGATTTTGTTACAAATAAGAACAACTTTGTGTGATGAGGAAGATGGACAAATGAAAACTATTTCTGTGGAAATATATTATATGAGATTTCCAGCTTACAGTTTAATTGATTCTGGCAAAATTATGCAACTACCAATTCAGTTTTCTTGATAACATATTTAATGCAAAAAAATAGCAAGAGCAACTTTAATGTCCTGATTGATTTATTAACTTACAAATTATTTTCAGTGATTGTGATGGTGATTAGTTGTATATTTAAATTAATTAAACAATTGCACTGTAACATATGCTTACCTCCATACCAACAGCACCTGCTATCAGTTTCCTTGCTTTCATTCTTGTCAGTTCTGATTTTGCATCACTCCTTACTTCAATAACTGGTCGACATCTTTGTTCCTTATAAAACTTTTTCCAGTCATGGAAAAGCTGTCTTGAAACTTTTTGAACAGAAGAATCTTCATGTTTCCTCAATTTGTTTACTATATGTCCTATCTTGGTTTTTAATAAAATTTCCTTTGATGGCTTCACCTTGGAAAGCTCTTCAAGAGCATTATGAAGTGCAGCAGCATCATTGCTGTTTTGTAAAATAAGTGATAGTCTTTCAATATCTTCAACAACCACAACTCTCTGAAACATCAAAAGATCTATGTATCATTATTTAATTCCAGAGTTACTAGAGGCAGATACCAAGACTTTCATTTCAAAACGTAGACGACAAAATTTATAAAACTGATGATGTATTGTCTTCAAGGATACTTTGTAAAAACTTGACCAGCATAGTGTCACCACAATAGTGCTCTTCAAAATTTTAATCAATTGAAGGGAGGGCAATAAAATTTAGAATTTTCATTTAAATATGTTAAGCTATTGTTGGTTGAATGTTTACTTTTAAGTAGCTTTTAAAATTTGCGAAGTATGATAGAACAATATTACACTGAAAATAAGTCTCAAAAACCACAATCAAGCATTAACTTTTTTCAAAAATTAAATGAATAGAGATAAAAAGGACTGATATGTAGTATTTCTTAAATGTTAAGTTGACAAATGGTTCTACTAAACAAACTACAAGGAGGCATCACACCAGCTTATCATAAAATGCTAAAATGTTTCCAAAAACCATTTCTAAGTTATTGCCAAAGTTTAAAAAGTCTAAAAGATTATAAGGTCTATTATGATATTATCAACAAGCAGTTAGAGCTTTCAAATAACCAAATTCAAGCATGAATGCAAGAAATTATGAATATACATAATTTCACAAAATATACAAACAGGCAATGCTTCAATTGTAACTTGTTTCAGTTTTTTCTTTTTTTCCTCTTTATTTATCTTAATTGGTTGTTGCCTTTTTGTTTTTACAACAAATGCATCCATACCTGAAAAAGACAAACAGTCATTTGATCATTGAAAATGTTTGACAAACTACCAATTTACATGTGCAGCCAAAAACCTACTTGTTAGAGTGGCATAACTAAAATAAGTAAATTTGGGAATATCATATCTCTTCCACAATTCAGTGTTAATGCAATACAGCCATATTTCTTCTCTGAATTTTGAAATATCATCTTAAAGTTGTCATTACAAGAAGTAGTTGTCTCCTTGTTAAATAATAATATGTGATGAACAGAGACTATTATGCAAAAACAAAATAAAAAAAACAATGAGGTCTATTATTCATCTCCTTGTGGGACACTGAAAAGTTTTCAGACTTTGAAAAAGTTGACAACAAACCAGGTAAAAATGTGATTCTTTCTACAAAATAAATGCAATCTTGTTACTCCAATACCTGCAATTGATATTTGAATGATTTTAAAAAATATATTATAATTTAAATCTAACAACATTGCTAAAACAAGTTTTTTGATAAGTTTCACAAAGGTTACAAAGTACTAGAAAATGTGCTTTAATTTTTTTACTAGTAGTGTGGCCAGTAGTTTGCAATTTTGTTGGATTTACAATGTTTTCACCAATGCTCACTTATGAACATGCATGCCAAAAGCATTCATGTTTTCTAACATGGCCTATTCCCCTCAACAGTGCATTTCTTAAAATGCCACTGAAAGTAAATAGAATACGGCCTACAAGAAGTTCAGATCCACTCAAAGCAAAACTGCTAGCCTAGAAAGTTTAGATTTTTAGAATTACAATAAATGTTAAACTTTTACGGCCCTTTAAATCTTATAACCGGGAAACTAAAGAAGCAATGCTGAACGATGTTGGAGTTTATCTCTGTATGCAGATGTACCTACATTTAAAGAAGCTTACTTAATTTATTCACTCACCCTTGTAGCTGGGGAAGAGTCCCCCAACCTCTTGCGATCTACTTATGAGACGGGATATCTCTTTTCTGTGCTAGAAAATTCAAAGCGGTTTTAATCTAACAACAGCAATAGCAACAGTTTGGAAATTATTAAATGGCCTCTTTCTGAAGTCCCGCCAATGCCCTAGTTTATTGCTGACCCCTTACAATTTCTGATGGGAAAGTCAAAATGGAGGTCTTTTCAGAAGCAAAATAATTTTATCACTACGAAGCAAATAGCTAGAAATGGATTCTACTGGGTAAGTTTTAATTTCAAATTTTGTTTATAAAAAGGGACAGAGAATCCCTAGATTTTCCCCAGTGTGCAATTCTTAGATTTCTGCTTGTTGCCACAAGACTCAAGAAAAAATTTATCCAGAAAAATATGACTCGCCAATTGAACTGGTTTGCAAATTTTCAATACATAGCCTGGCATTACTACAGATCTCCAAAACTTACCAAATACAGTTGGGGAGTTTTATAAAAGATCGTGGTCGCCGCAAGTCTGGCACAAAATGGCTCTTAAATGCAGACTGGTGACTGGTTCATGTGTAGCCCTGAACATATTATGAAGCAGCGCCCAAGGTTCTACATTTTAATGCCAATGCCAAAAATTTTATTATACAATGCATAACAGAAACTATATGATCTTCCTTTTCGTTGTTATGTGTCAACAATGGTTGTTTATTAGAAATATGCTGCCCAAATACAGGGAACCAACCCATCCGCCTTTACTCCAACAAATTAATTTTCTTTGTTTTATGCAAAGAAAACTATGAAGTCCATGATTTTCTTGGAGCCTTAGAAGTCAAGTGGATACTGATGTTGATTCTTTTGAAGAAATCCCCCAGCATTGTGGCATTTCTATATGTTTTATTCTGGATAATTAATAACCTTCCTCGCTAATAAGTCCCCTCTTTTTAAGCCCTCTCTAGGACTGAGAAAATAAATAAGCCCTACTCCCTGCAGGGCTTAATAGAGCTTTTACAGTATGCCATATTTGCTTGCTTAAATTTTTCTAGAAAATTCTACATTCAAATAGGTTTTAATGAAAAGTTTTAAACCAAGTTAATTCAAACATTAAAGCAATATTTTTTTGGTGTTCCAAGTTTTACTTCAAGTATATTTTATCTTTGACTATGGGTTAATTAGCATCCTATAATGATTTTATACCTAAAAATTTGTAAAATTGTTTTATCCTTGACATTGCAATATAAATGAAAGTCTGAATGAAAAGCCTATATAGCATATGGGGTAACAGAAGATATTCCATATAGGAAGACACCTAGGTTTTAATATGCAGAGCACCTTGTAATGATCAGATATCTAGATCGTTTTTATACATGACATGAACTGTGTGACTTTTGTAACGAATGTTTTAACATTTCCAAATTTTTTTTTGTATTACGAGCACTTAAATTCTTTGAAAACATGCTCAGGGTAGGATTGAGATTTCAATCTAAAAATATTTTCATGTACCTTTGCGTTAAATCAGGGCCTCCAACGAAGGTGGGGCTGGGGGGCCATAGCCATCCCCAGTTTCTTCCTATACAAAATAACTTTCACAAAATCTTATGTTATGGGTGTTAAATTTTTCCTTGGCCCTCCCCCACTTTTCAACTTGTGTCAAAGACCATGTAAATTGCTCTCAAAAAGTGTGTTTTATTACCTTAGTTTTTAATACTAGCATTTTAGCTTTCATGACTAAAATGTTCTTCTTTTTCGAAACCACTTGCTGTTTTAAAAAATATTTCTTCAAGTGAAATGTTAACCAGTCACTTGAACAATCCAAATCAACTGAATTTCCATCATCAAACAGCCATGGTTTTGAAGCCACCTAATTAAGACCTTATGATAATGAGTCTTGAGAATATTGATCTTATTAATTTAGTCAATCTAGTTTTGATTGAACTTTGTTTTCATTACACAAACATGCATATTACTGTCGACTCCTTTTAAGTAACCAACAAATTATCCCTTCCTATAGAATTATTATACAAAGTTTACATTGAACAGAAAAATCATAGGGCTTTCTTGAAAGAGAAATATAAAAGCTAAGATATTTCAATGAAGCTATTAAAAACACAGACAATGGACAAATTATAAAAAGATTATAATTATTCAAGTGTTTATAGTCATCCTGGCAAGACCTACTGATAATAAGTCTAAAATATTAGCTAGCTAATTAGCTAGAGATCAAAATACTCTAGTTTCGAGCTGCCTTTATTAATGCGGAAACATTTCCACAATCGTTCTGAAAGTTAACTATTTTTCCTGATTAAGCATAGGACAAGGCATACACCATAAATCTATACCTTTTTTTTCTTCCAACCTGTTCCTGATTTTTTTGGTGATTATTGGTTTTGCATCAAGTAAAGTGCGTTTTGTATTGACCAGTATCGATTAACTTCATTTCGAAATAAAGACCAACATACACGCAAAATCCTTAAGGCATAAAATTGGTAACTTCCAGAGAAAAGGCAAAAAGAATTATCAACAATAAACTTACAGCTTCTTACAGGCAACCTGCAACCAATTTTTAAAGCAATAAACACAGCCAGGCTGGATGTGAATATCATATCAAATTTCATGATTATTTGATTTAAAATTCCTGATTAACTTTCTGCTAGCACAAGTTCGGGTAGAAATAAGGGTTTTCACTCCAGAAACAATTGCATCAAATACTGTAATTGCATTTTAGAGAGTAATATTTAATGCATTGGGTGATTATCAGTATAAGTCTCTGTAATAGATGTTAAAGGGGTGGTTTCATGCATCAGAATTCGTTTGCAGCTAGTTATTCAAATTTTGTAGTGTTTTATAATCTTCAATAAATACGTAAATCACTTGGGCAGTTGGATAACATCCGATGGGAGATCAGATCTGGATATCAAATGCGAATAAGGCATTTATGGGTAGGAGGAATGTTTTGTGTACAAGGAAGACAGGGTTGGGTGTTAGAAAGCGTTTGTTAAAGTGTTATATCTGAGCCGTGCTACTGTGTGGATGCAAGTCAGAATAATAAGTAAGAATATGGAGAACAAGCTTGAAGCGATAGAATGTGATTTTGGAGAAGAATGATGAGAATCTCATGGATTGAAAAGATGACGAATGAAGAAGTTTTGGCTAAGATTGGAGAGAAAGACAACTGTCGAACACCACCAGGAAAAGACAATGGGGTTTCATTGGACATGAGTAGAGAAGAGAAGGGGAGATAGAAAGGAAAATTATAGGGGCTGAGGTGGCCGGGAAGCGAGCAAGAGGAAGGCAAAGATTGAATATGTTCGATTGGATGATAAAGATATTGGGTGTTAGAGGTAAAAAACAACTAGGCGAGATTGCAAGAAATAAAAAAGGAGGAAGGAGAAAGTACCACCATGATCCGTCTACGGCATTCGATGCCATAACACAAGAAGGAGAAGAAGTCGTAAATCGAAAAGTTGATGTACGAGAATAATTTTGTATGTTTAGCGCAGACTCGCAAAAACCCTACAGACCTACAAACCTGTGGTGGAAAAAGGTTTTGCCCAAGAAATGGAGAAGGTTTTATGAACAAAAACAAGATTTCTGTTTTCGTTCTTTTTCTTTCAAACTTACAAAACCTGGAATCACCAATAATACATAGAACCATCTAAAGTCGTATTAACTGCATGGTAAAGGTGAGGTTATAAAAAAATAAGGATTGAACGGTCAATGTAATTGTTGAAAAAGAATCTACGAGGTATTACCGGTGTTTGTCAAGAAAATTCATTCTCTATAATTTGGTAAAAGCCCTAATGCGTCACAAAAAGCGAGAAATAGCATACGTAGAGCCCAGATTACACTTTTTGATTGCTACCGAACACTGACTGTTCAGCTGTTTCCAGTAATTTTACGTTGTGTTAAAATTGAGCAAATATGAGACCTTGAATTGCGTCGAGCTCACGCCTTGTAAAAACTGTGTACGAGACGTAGCTGACATTAACCATTGAGTTTGGGGGTTCTGCAGTTGTATTCAATTTATCATTAGTGCTACCTTTAAATAAAAAAACTGAACCCGTCTTCTGGAATTTTGTTAATAATAATAATAATAATGATACTACAATTTATTTTTAGTTGGCAACCATAATAGGAGCAGTGCTAACTAAAGCCAACTTTATACAAAAAGAGCCTATTAACATAGATTCTAAAATCTAAGAATATAAATAAAATAATACAATGCTGGCTAGATATAGCCAAGGTTTGCTATAAATGTTTTGCAAAGCTTGCAGTTGCATTTGTCTGTAGTCCATTTCTTGATGAGACCCTTAAAGATTTCTAGAGTGTGAGAATCTTTGGTTTCACTTGGTAACGTCTGCCAAAGTCTGCATCCAATATACTGTATGTTATCTATACCATGAGCAGTTGTATTTGCTCTTGGTACCAGAAGACCATCATTGTTTCTAAGATCATATGTTATGTTCTTTCTTTTGAAAACGATATCTTCCATGAAAGATAGATTTAAACTGTTTTTGGTTTTGTATATCTCTATCATAAGCAACTGCAAGTTTCTTTGGTGAACTGATACTGGCTTATCTTTTACTAGAAGTTTATCAAAGGAGGAGGTTGTTTCTTTGTTTGGTTCAAGATAATTTTTTTTGGTCACACTTCTTGTGGTGTCGTCTTGTAAATCGTCTTGTACCATGTTTTTAATATCGATAAAAACAAAGGACCCTAAGGACAACAGAAAAACGTGCTATCATAACCATATAACCGCTTCCAGAGTTCTAATTGGTTTGATTATAGCATGGAAATAGGAAGACTTTTAAGCGCAAGAAATTGAACACTGTTGAATGAAGGCAGAAATTTAAGAATACAACTTTGCGAATAGCCTCTGTTGTCTTCCAAAGCGTGACTTCATGGTAAGCATAACGGCTTTGAAAAAAGCAAACATTTTACAACATATTGGCTAATAGCTTTTCGTCTGACACTCCCCATAGCATAAAACGTCAGAATAAAAATACATACCCAGTTGTGGATAGAAATAGGCCAATCAGAAAGACACAAGCGCAAAACCGGTATAGTTGTCCAATTGGTGCCGCGTGCCTAAAGAAAAATCACCAGTGGAGTCTACGAGAAAACGAACTCCTTCTGTCTACACAATAGCGGCTTTTTCGTTTGCATGTAGATCGATTCCAAAATTCCTAGATGGAAAGACCACCGGGCTCTGCCAATTATCCGAAACATGTCGTCTTTATAGAGTTTAGCACAATTTGGGTTGTCTAAAAGGTATTGACCGATGGCAGAATCATTTGTTTTAACAGTTTTTCTAGACCTATAAGATCGAGGAGGCTGTTCTCTTTGAGGGGCGGTTTTGTTTCTTACGTTGGAAGGAACTGGGTATATATTTTTCATCGTGTTTTTTCGGACCCTAATTTTGACGTTGGTCAGGTTGGTGATGGCCTCCCCGCTTTTTTGCGAAGCAAATGATTTTCAAGCTGCAGTAGAAGGTGAAAGAAGCCTTGACCCCCAACTTTCGCTAGCCTTGGGCCCCACCTTAAACTTCGTGGCGTGGGCCTGTTGCTTATCCGTTTTTTGTTTTGGATCGTAAAACGACTGCTTTACTAAATATAAAGCTCTATAAAACAAGACTTTCTCTTTTTAGCTTCGCCACCACCTAATGCCATGCAGCTATCGTTTTGATTCTGTTAAATTTTATGCTTTTACTTTTCAATTTTATTAACATTTTTTATGCCTTATATATAAAAAGTTTAAAGTTTTCACAGTTTGTATTCAAATGTATTTCTCGGTGGTTGTTCCTTGAAAGCATGGTTTGGCTAATTAATCCACGGTTAATCCAACAGCTTTTGCATTTAAAATTCCATGCAACTTTAAAGCAGTTAG